AAGAATTGTCTCCCAAATTTGCTTAAGGGAAACAAACAAACAATGACCAGAAACAAGATTAAGAAAAATTGCTCAAAATCTAATGATAAATGAATCATTAATTTATACTATTAATGAAATGAAGGAGATAACCATAACTTTACATTAAAAATAATAAAAAAATCACAAAGAGTACCCATTATTGTTGATGAAGAACAGAAGATGCTGCTTGAAGGTTGGATTTGGAAGTCTGAATTGACTTCTGATCAGAATGATATGAAAGTTGATGAAATCTTTCATATATCATAACAGCAAACGTTGCGGTCTCAATCCCCGTAACGAGTAGGCTCAGGGCCTGTCTCCTTATTCACATCATCATCATCTTCATCTCTGTATTCTCCGTCTGCATTTTTCTCGATTACAACATTCCCCTTCTCTGCTACCTCTACCTTTTCTCAGGTGACGGCTAACGGTTGGTTGAGCTCTGAGTTGCAGAGAAGTAGAGTCGTCGAGTAAGAAAAGAACTCGGATATGGAATGAGTTGAGATTAATTTCGGAGTGGAAATCTCCAAATTGAAGAGAATAGACGGAAAAGATTGGTTGTCGCCATTGATTTGTTACCTTCGGCTCCATCGGCTTTCGGAGGCATCGAATCGCAGGAAAAATGCGTGGGAAAAAGTGCCTCAGGCAGATTGTATTTGGGTTTTGGGCGAACTGTGAGGGACGAGAGAGACGAGAAACTTGCCTGATATGGTTATTATGTATAGTTTTTTAAAGTGGCGTCGTTTTGAGCCTTGGTTTGTTACTTAAAGGACGGCGTCTCACCTCACATGCTATTTATCCATGAAAACTAACTGGGACGGAACCAAGTCATCCAACGGTGCAAGGGATCGTCCGTATATATGTACTGAGCTAATGGTTAAAAGTAAATTTAGACCCCGTTTGGTATAATGATTTTACCTAAATCGCTAAATATAGGTGTTTGGTAAATTTATATATTTCGAAACCGCTACAACTAAAGTGTTTGGTAAAATTTTTATTTTGCGGTTTGAAACTAGCGGATAGCGGTTAGGGTCCAAATCGCTAGCGGATTGAAAAAGCTAGTTTATGTAACTTTTTGTACCAAACCGCTAGTGAATTAGAATATTTTAATTTTATTGACAAATTTATCCATTTTAATTTTTTAATTTGTGATCACATTTTTTAATTAATAATTATCTAATAAATTTCAGTTTTGTTTT